TCAAGTGGGTAGCGGTGATGTCTGGCCGACCGCAGCCAACCCCCCATTACTGGCCCCCTCCTAAACAAGAGTGTGTGTTGCGAGACTTGACTCACTTCTGTCTGCAGGAGACCAGAGAGAAAGGCGTTTTTAAAAGTCTCTGTGTGTTCAGCTCTCAGTACTTTTGTAGCTTCTGACGGAAACTCTCTGGTTTGGAGTTTAGTTTCTCCACTGTGTCCTGTTTTTAACTTTAGATATCTACTTAATTTTACTGTTTCATGTTGGCTATCCGCCATATTAGAAGTTGTGTAAAGTTGCTGCTCGAAAACACAAGATTTCCTTATTTTGGTACTTCACAATAAAAGTTTTTAAATAACAAAATAATGGGAGACCTTTATTGTGAAGAATCTATAGGAAATAAAAGGTGTTATTACTGAATTGGAGGAAACTTTGCAAGCAGCTCCACTTCAATAAAGGCAAGTCTAATAATACTGCAGGGAGGAACATGAAAGCAGAAACAGCCACAGTAAGATGTTAGATCAAGAGCTGCAGACAGCTCACATCCAACAGGTAAACTTCTTTTATTTGCCCTGCTGGAAAATGTGGAAAAACACATGCAGCAAAAATAAAGGGAATTTACGCAGTGGATCAGCCCACTGCTTTTAACATCACCACTCAAGACAAGCCATCATCTGTTAAAGACACACCTTCAAGAAGGTAGCCCGGTTGTAATGGAAATGCAAATCCCTGCTGTGCTGAGCTGATGGCCCAAACCAAACCAAACCAAGCCAAGCCAAGCCAAGCCAAGTCACCCCATGCAGAAGGACACCATTAATGTATACATCTCACGTTGCCACAGGCACAAGCCTCATGTCCATGGGTAGATGCACACTTTCTTCTGTTCTGTGATATGGTTGGTGGGTGTAATCCCTTTAAAAATAGATCACAAATTCCCTTAAACAACTGGGCACTATTGTTTTTAGCAATGATTACTCAAAGTGCAGTAAATGGTGCTTTTTTTGGGGACTGTTTTCAACTGTGGACTGATACATGTGTCATTTTCTTTTGAGCATTCAAGGTAGAATTGTGTTCGTGGAATAAGGTTAAAACAAAATACAGCGGCCAAGTTCATGGTGATGAAGCATCAAATCACCAGGGCAACAGTTCGGCCCATTTATGGGTTTTTAGTTGCTTTTGGGCAACAGTGAAGTCTATGGCGCAAAGGAATGAGCCATAATAGAACAGGACTTCACAGGCAGTACTTGTAATTTGTTACATTACAATACACTTGGTTGCAAAAATGCAGTATCACTGTCTTATGCTTTAGGGCAGTGAATAAGAGTTTTACAGCCACGTAGTGCAAAAATAGCTGTTATATATCTGGAGAGGGTTGACAGGATGTTGATCTGCACCACTGACTCAACCATAACACTTTCAGTGCTGACACTGCTGGCCCTCAAAACTCACTCCATGGCTTGTACTGTGTTTGGGAATGAAAACGCACTCTACCCAGTTTGGCCAGTATTGTTGCAGTTACTACAGGTCCCCAATAGAGGCCATGAACCATTCAAGTAGTACCGTTTTTGTCACCGCTCTGCAAAAGCATGTGATGAATAACATACAATTTCCCGCGTGCTACTTTGTGAAACACACACACACACACACGCACATGCACACACACACGCAAATTTACTCACACACAGACCACAACCCTCTGCCCTGTTCTCCATCCTCCCCTCTTTACATGTGAAGCACCCTTTGCTCTCGCTCAGCGCTCACTAAGCTCAGCTAAGTGTTGCTTTGAGATTAATACATGGGAGGCCCACTCTGCCAGATGATGTAATAATCGTGGCGGTTTGCTGTTGCCTAGATACAGGGAGACAGTAGAGAAAACACTCAGCCAGGTCTCGCTGTCTCTGTCACTAGGACCCCCAGGACCATTGGAGTCAATCAGAACAAGTGTTTCGAGCTCAGGGCTGTTCACTTTCTGAGCTGGTATGTCCATAACAATCAAATAAAAAAGAAATAATCTTAACTTTTTAAAAACGTTATTCTCTGTAAGCATGTGCCTTTATTAACACATCTAACATCTAAAAGCTCAAACACTTAATAACTCCATACACATTCACCGTCTACTCCGTTAGAAAAATGGGATTTATATCATTTTCTTGAACGCACCCTGGGGTGTTGTTGCCTGAGCTTGTTATGCCACGTCTCTGTACATAGCATTAGTGCTTTGAAGCTGCGAAATCTTCATTAGCAACAAACTCACTAACCCTTCACACGTCTCCTCCTCTGTATTTCTCTCACTCTCCTTCAGCCCTTCGCGAGCACAGACGTCCCACAGCTAGGAAGGGAACTCCAATATCCTGCTGAGATGCAGGTCACTGTGTTTGTCTCACTGTATGTGTGTGTGTGTGTGCGTTATGGAGGGAGGCTGTGACTAAGCCTCTGCTTTTGTAATAGTGTTGCATTAAGTGCATCTCCATTCTGTTTTTAGTCCAAACACAGCCAAATATTCAATGCACCGGTTGCTATAGCAATAAAGTCTCTAGCACTGGAAATTTTTGTGCCTTTAAACTGTAAAAAGTTGGTCTGACAGCCTTGTTTTTTAGCATGAAGATGAAGTCTGAAATAGGAGATGGACGACAACAGAAACAAGGCTTGTGGTCTAAGGATTGACAAGTATCCCAGCTTGCATTTCACATCAACCAGCACAGTGATAGTGGATGATATCAGAATCAAAACTGATGTAGTTTGTGTTTTACCATGCGATTGCCTGGAAACCACAGGTCCGTTACATTTGCACAATACTATGTAGTGCATACTTTGAAACTTAATGTTTCAAACAACACGGGGGTTAATGTGTGGTTATGTTTAGGCACAAAAGCCACCAGGTTATGGTTAGATAAAAAATACCTGTTTTCTTATCCCCAGCAGGAAAATCAGCAATATCTCAGTTAAAGATAAATGCCTTTTGTGGCACTATCACTTTTGAAACGCTGATAGGATACTTAGGAATTTTCAAAATTGTGCCATATTCATGGTTTGCCAAGACATACCATGCCAACATTTTCTTTTGGTGACTGGACTGGTTTCACAGCTGTGTGTTACTGTGTCACCAAACTGTAATTTTGAGGATTTCTTTAGGCAGGAAATTAACTGTTCAGATTTGGAATATGTGGTTTAATTACAAAAATAATGGTACTTCAAAATAAGCTATGATACTTTCAAAAATGTGAGAACCTGCTAGTCAGACTGGACGAGCAAGACAAGGCGTCTGCGTCAATGATCATTCTGGTGGTAATGACTGGCTGGTATCAGGGTTGAACATCTAATATTTGGTTTAGCTTAGGGTTTGATTTTTATTGTGTAGTCTTACAATAGCACTGCCTCTGTGTACTTTTGGCACCCAATATGTACGCAGTGTTGGGAAGGTTACTTCTGAAATGTGATAGGTCACAGATTTCTGCATAATGACTTTTTTAATGTGATTTATTGCAGTTTCATTAACGTAGCTGTTTCCTCAAGTTTGACATTGAGCATTTCAATGTTAACAGCATTTTTAACACCAGTAAACAAGCCTTACATTCTACAGTAATGTTTGAGCCCTTTTCTAAATTCAGAAGTAAAATACTGTTGAGTTCCCAGCACTGACATATGTTCTTGTCCGACAACATGGCCACCCGCCTTGGCATGGTCGGTTGATCGCAGTCAGCCAATGGCAAACTCCAGCTGTTTAGAGCAGTGGTTACCAAATGGTGGGTCGTGGTCCAAAAGGTCCATTCTGAATGGACGTAAGCGACTTGTGATTGTGTCAAGTTTGAGCTTTTATTTTGAAGTGCAGTTTCCTGCTGTAGAGTGAGTGACTAACAGACAGCCACTTGACAGAAAGAACAAACTAGCTCGATGACATGGCCAAACGCAAGTATGACGCTGAATATATCAAAGTGTGTGGACCTTGAACTAATGACTAAGGACAAATCTGGATCCTGTGACTGGGATCAGTTGGGAACCACTGGTTGAGAGCAATGCACATTGATTGGATTGTCAGGACTCGACTTAAACATGTCATACTCTGTATTGTGAAAGGCCTTGACTCTTAGGGGAAACACCTCTGCAGAAAAAAAATGGGTCTTTTACAAAAAAAACTTAAACCAGCAAATATCTGAATTCCCACAAGCCTGTTCTGACAAAGGACAGCCATCTTCTCTGCTGGGTGAGTAATGATAGGCCATCATCTCACCACCATCTGCTGCTCTGGTGCCAGTGCTCTGCGAGAGACTGGCTGTGACCTTGGGGGGAGGCCGGGCTGGCTAGGCCTGTCTGCATGACATGGACTCTTGCTGCCAGCTGTCCATTAGTTCTGGTGAGACACTGTGATGAGTCAGTGATGCCTTGCCTGTGTTGCATCTACTGTAGATCTGGCTGCTTGATTGGGTATCATGGTGCATTTTCGTTGCTAAAAAAGCACTTCAAGTGGTTTCTGCCTCATTAGGCCGTGTGCGGCACAGAGAACAAGTGATGGAGCAGATTAGCTGTGTTGAAAAGGCATGGCAGATGACTCGGTCCGCCCAGTCTCCAGCAGATATTTAAAATTTAGCCATTTCCAATGTGACAGAAGTAAAGTCTGACGTTTTTGACACTGTCATGCTAGGAGGAGCTGTGCTGATTTTCAAACTAAAAGTAGAGCCTGTCACACATTCATTTTTCATTTTCCTCACACACCAAGGCCAAAAATCTTCATCACAAACTGCCACCATAGTTGAACAAGTGACACCACAGATGGGTAGCATGAGAGGCTCTGCGTCTCATTGCTACATTTTAAAATCATGAACCTACCCTTCTACTGCCAGCACGGCTCTTAAAATGCCACATAACGTTGCGCTGACTGATTGATTCATGTCACATTATATTCACACAGGTTTAGCTGAATGGTCACACTCCTCGACACACTGGAGGCATAAATCGAGTCTTGAATGTTATTCAAAGGTGGACAGTTTAGAGGGATATTAACTTACCTAGCTCCCTCGATTAGACCGGTGGGAATTGCGAGCACTGGCAGAACATTACTCCTCCCGGACCGGTCTCTGCAGAAGCCTCTCCCTCCAACCCTGCTCCCATCCTCTTCCTGTGCTTGGCACAAACAATAAAGTCAAGTCACATTTACACAATAGAGGTGAGTAAGGTAGCTAATTACAGCAGAGATTCGACGGAAACAACCGCTGAAAAGGTAATATATCACCAGGAATAATAAAACTGCTCTGACAGTTGCTTCTGCTTGAATTATTAGCCCTTGTTGTGTTGCAATGGTGGTCAGTTAGTCATGGATGAGCAGTTAAAAGGCCAGTATAGGCAGGGGTATAGGGCTCGGATTTTGTATTAGCTTCCCCCTCAAATGATAGACGTGGTGTCCTGAGATAGCTGAGTATCACTGTAAAAGATGGTATTTGCTTCTCATTAATATTATACATGTGTGGTTGTGTATTCTTGTATAAATGAATGAGCGTAGAGGCCTATGGCTGTGTGTACAGTCTTTGTATATGTGTGACTACAGCTGTTTTTCGACCAAACAGTTCTGGGGACTCCTTGAGAGAAACTGCTCACTGAGGAGCTCCCCCGAAAACTACAGACCACCAAGGGCTTTTCCTCTGCTTGCATTCGTGGTATAGCACTGTCACTTTATTTTGAAATAACAACTTTTTAAAAATGGTGGTTGCTGGTGCTGCATTGGCTCATGTGTTCGGTCAATAAATGTATGCTTACATCACTCAAAGTTTATCTTGTGCTGAGAGAGTACAGACTATGAAATGGGAGCTAAGAAATTCCCTAAAATGCTGTTTCAAGAAGTACGATGGCTTGCAGTTCTTGTGGAGTGGACACAGTAAAAAAGGTTCTTAAAACCATGACAAAATTCCTCTGGTCCAACACCACCTTTGAGCGTGTGGCTGTGTGTATGTTTTGATTTATTTACTGCCTGGGGTATAAGTCTCACGTTGCACAGTGCCTAGAGGCACATTTTATACCATAGAAGCAGAAACACTTGAGGTCTTTTTTAGGCAGTCTCACACATTGCTGTATTGATACTTCAGGCCCACACAAACAGTTACATGTCATCCCTTTCCACTTCTCGCCTCCCTTTTTCTCCTCATTGTGCTGTCTAATATAGCAGAAACACCTTAAAAACAACCGATGTCGCCTCTGCAAACAGCTGCAGTACATCAACGGTGTTTTGATAATGCTGCGTGTAATCCCAGTGTCCATCGCTGCTGTCTGCGAGCTTCCACTGTGTCTATTTTTCCCTTCTCGGGGGGGCAAGGAGGGCTGCTCGGCTGACAGCCGAGGTCATTGCACTTGTTTTTATCTTGGCTGGAGCTGTGACAGGCTTGTACTTTCAAAATCCTGAAGACAAGGCCTGGAAGAGTAACTTACAGCCAGAGCAAAAAGACATGCACACACCGCTGGGCTGTCCTTTGATGTACCGGCAATCAAATCCCAAAGTTTAAATCCAAAGGAGATGCTGTTTGATGTTTGGGAAAAATATGTAATGCTTAGTTCCTCTGACAAATCCTAATTCCAGGATGGAGAGCATGCATGAAATGTTGATGTCCAAAGTTAAAGGCAGTTGTAAGAATAAGTGAAGATATGCTGTACAGTGAGGTGTGTTTGATCATAAACGCCTGTGTCACCCTTTACGGCGCATTTAGCATGTTCTTTTGGCTCATTAATGTGCCAGACAGCTCAATGAACACCGCAGCAGCATGTGGTTTAATTACCAGGAGGAACAGGATAATCTGTCAAGATGACTGATCTGGACATGTGTGTCCTCTTGCTGGATATATTTGGTATTTGCAGGCTGTATAATTTACAGATAGTGCATTGCTCTAATGTGCTTTGAGTTGTATTTATCTCTTTAACTCTTCTCTTAATTTATGGGTGCTTCATTCTCCTCTTAGGATAAGTGCAAAGTTGTAAGTGAGCCCTACCTTGCAAACTGTCTCCCACTGACATATCTGCTGTTGCCTGGCAACCACTAAGCATTTTTGTGAAGGATACCCTTATACCCTGTATTCGAAAAAAGGCACGGTGAAGGCTAAGTTCCTTGAACTCCTACTGTGGGTGTTTGAATACTGAATATATTATGATTCTCACCAAACACCAGGAGGAGTATTGCGGTCCTGTTCTCGAGCCAACTTCCCTGCCCCGACGTTCCCAAACTTTTCCTCTCACTGGCTGCAGAGAGAAAGCACAAGTACAGCATGACATTACACAGTGTTAGAGTTGTAGATAAACTTTCTGTGTGAGATCAATAGGCTGCGATGCCTTGAGGGTGCTTTGAGAATGGAGCGTATAGTTAAATGGAATCAAATGGATGCTGTGTAACTGAAAGGTCAGCTGCTGTCTTGGCTTACAGTGTTGTTTTTTTAAAGAGCCTGATGGAATCGCTGCGGTTTAAAACACAGGATTCATGTTTTATCTCCAAAGATACTTTTCTTTTTCTTTTCTCTGTGTAGTTTTTACATCCAGACACTTCATCTGTGACCAAATAAATTATGTGATAACTCCTTAAAATTACTTAAAAATTACATTTAATTACGTAAATTACAAAGCAAGAGTTTACTTTCAATACACATGCCAGAATAAACACTGGCATTGTACATTTCTGCAAAGCACGATTATGCTACATTTCTACATCTTATATATGGTGGTTATGTTGAAACTTTAAGTCATAATGCTTCAATTTTCAATTTTATGTTGAAACAATGATGTGAGTAATGTGTGGTTAGATTTAGGCAAAAAACCCCACTTCATTAAGGTTAGGACAATGCCATGTTTTGGCTTAACATACCCAGTTGGCCGTAAATGTACTGAACTTTAATTGAAAAATGCCTGTTTTTGTTGTGCGCGATTGGTCGTCTAAATGATTATACGTCTGCCCCCTCGCTAGTCAGCACCAGAAATATTAGTCGCTTAAACTAATTAGTGTTTTATTCATGTACAATGCCGCTTAACTGTTATGTAGCCGCCCACCACTAGTGGGTGCTACAGAGCCGTCAGACAGCAGTCCCCCTCCCTGCATTAATGTTTGAGTAGAGTAGTGGAGTTTTAAAACAGCACGGTGGGAAGTGTTGTTGTCAGATAATGTGCAGGGTTTACATTCATACTGCACGGCGCGAAATTTCAGCTGAAATTTATTTATAATTTAGATGTTTTTTTAACGTTAAAGTGAATTGCTACCATTTTTGTTGGATAATCTGCGGGTTCAATGTGCCCCACATTTCAGAGGCAATTTATTTATTTTAGATGTTATTTTAGTGGTTAGCTTTTGACTGAATTGTCGTCATGTTAGCATTCATACTGCACGGCACAAAGTGTCTCATACTTCAGTGGCATTTAAAATCTGACAAGGTTGTTGAAGATTAATTAAAATTTTTGTTTCATCGACAGGGAAATTAGTCGCCAGGAACATCCCTGACAAAAACAACTATAAATATTCCAAACTCTTGTTTAAAAAAAACAACAACACTTTTGTCGCTACGAACACAGCTGGATTTGTCGCAAACACCTGGTTTTGTTGGTCTTAAACAGTCGTCTGGTGCTGTCTGCTGCTTGGCAGCTGTCTCACCTGAAAAATTTACCTGTATGTGTGTATGTGTGTGTTTACATATACCTGTAATCTGCTACCCTTTTATTCTGGTGAATTGGCTGTTTCTTTAGTATGTAGCCTGTCTGATACTGTATTGTTGAAGCTGATAATGACATTAATATTTAAAAGTTTAAAAAAATGTATTGGCTGATCTTATTTTATTTTTTCATAAATGACATTTTATGTAACAAAAAAGTTGTGACTGAGAAATGTAGAGACATTTTTAAGTTCAAAAATAAACTTGTCAGACCTCTTTTAACTGTACAGAAACACTGTTTCTGAATTAATTCAGATATATTTTTGATATTTCTGTAGTGCAGTTTCTTCTTATTGATCTTCTGACATAGACGCTTATATTGATATAGCATCTGCAACAAGTTTATATCAGCTGATATATTGCTGGGCTCTTCTTTAGGGATGAAGTTGAGGTCCATCTTTCAGGACATTTCACGGATTGTTACATAACACACTGTAGAGATGACACATTATACACCATATTACATGGAAGTTTATACTAGCAATGATATTGTATTTTTAAAAATGGGGTAAAACAATTCACACATTATTCTGCTAATAAACAAAGTAGCATACAGAGTCCTCTATATTCATTTAGCCTTTAATTATGTGGGGAAAATGTAATTTAGAACTTGTATACAGAGTTGTATACAGGGCCCATTGACTGTCTTTAAAAACAATTTTATGTAATCAAAGTGAGAACACCTACAGCATCCTCGCTGTGGATAACATATGGCTGCCATATTGATAACTTCATTATTTGTCTTGAGGAAAATTTGCAAGAAGTCGCCATCACAGCCAAATGACATGGTAATGGATTCAGAACAGCAGCTGATCTGCCTGTAACTGTAATTATCTCCACATCCTGCTTTTACTTTCATTAGCAGCCTGTCTCCGTAGTGCGCTAACTGTGAGACGGCCAAATGAGAACAAATTAATAAGACTCTGGAACTGTCCCAACACTCTTGGATAGAAATGTCCAGCTTATTGAGGAAAAACACAACAATTGATACAGTGGAAAAAACAGTGCGACTGTGTCGTGTGGAGAATACTGAAAGACGACATATGGGGAACCTTTAATCTGAGGGGTTTTGTAGCTAACGTCAGCTAACGTTGCTGGTTTAATTGAGTTTGTGTCCTGACTTAGGAGTATGAAGAAATGATTGTGAATCATTGTCAGGGTGTTGATACATTGTATGCAACATCCCACTTGGTTAGCATCTCAATTGAAAGGGCATAAAGGAAAACAAACTTGGATTAAATTGAAGGAGGTGGTTTCATTTTTGCAGTGTGTGAATTTTTCATTTTTCCAGCAGCTCATTACATATCGTTACCTGTCAGAGTCACCATTTTTGTTTATCAATGATGCAATGAGTGTGTTTATATGGACAGTTTAATTCCCTTTTCGGAATGAAAGATCATTCCTACTCAAAGTGATCTTGTAAACACCTAATTCGGAATGAAAATGCGATCAAAAATTTATTCGGGGCTGGAACATTCTACCTCCCTTCTCCTTAACAGACGAAGCATTAGCAGAACAAGGTTGTTGTCGTACTGCTGCTTCCAGAATATAAGCAAAACAAGCCCAAAAAAGGCACTAAGAACGGCGTTGTCAAGCATCTTGTTATCTGGAACGAGGACTACAGTGTTTTCTTCCGGTAAAGGTAAACACATAAGATCCGCCCCGCCCACTATCCAATCAGAAACCTTCCCTGCCCCAGACCTTGCGCAGACCCGAATAAAGGCAATTCAAAGGCAATTAAACTGATCTCCCATGTAAACCCTCATTCAGAATGAATATTTAGACTTTAATTCCAAATGATTTCATTCAGATTTATTTCATTCAGAATGAGAAGCCATCATGTAACTGTACCCAATTATGGAGGAATAGTTGACACTGTTTTGGACCTTGGTTGGCCACTACAGATAACTAATTTGTCTTGATAATGAAACCATTGATGCTTGTCTGTGTTTGGTTAAAAACTCCAAGAAACCAAAAGAACCTAGCATGCTTGTTCGTCATTGTCTGGACTTTTTTCTTACTGCTCTATCTTGCTATGTTTAGCTTCCTGTGAGGATGATTTGCATACTGCAGGTACTGTATCAGTCATTTTTCAGCCATCTTGTTCCTCTCTACATTCTGTTTTATCTCCAGAGTTCTTTATCACGAATGCATTAGGGCAAATCCACTCATCTCTAGAGCAGAAGTGTGTTCTTGTAGGCTATGTGTGTGTGTGTGTGTGTGTGTGTGTGTGTGTGTGTGTGTAAATGACAGAGTGACAGGATAAGTGGGGAGGACATGAGAGAAATCACTGAGTGATACTTGTCAGTAAATGAGTGAGTGCATACGCAGTCTTAAAGGCAGACGAGGGCTGCGTCGCCTTATTATTTATGCACATGGTGTCCAGCATCCTTGAGTAATTCTGATAAATCACTTTCCCTGCGGTAAAATCAATATGTGTGGCGCACACAACACTTCAGCCAAAAACAACCCCAGATAATGCCCCAGATATGGAAGCCGTGTTTTCCCTCTCAAAGCCTGATGTGCACAGTATCAATAATGCATAACAGGTTACAGGTTGTTTGTTTATTTCTGTAATTAAGTTGGTTTTAACCGCATGCTATGGCGTCGATTAATCTTTAAACACAGTGTGAGACTTAGGTCAGCATGTGAGACAGTAGGGAAGAGGTGAAATCAGGGCTTTTCAAATGATTTTTAGTTGTAATTGAACAAAAAAATACAGTGGCACCTGCACCCTGTCAAGATTTTAATGTCAAAAGATCAGCCTGCAGCATAAATCAAAAATGAGACAGCATCAGAACGAGTGGTGAGACTTGGCAGTGCTCTACTGCATTTCTATTCTGTCTTTGGTTCTTTTTTTAACATTTATAATTACACAGCTGCTGGCATGACCTTTATGCAGACAGGGTACATTCTGCCTCATTCCAGTGATCCATTTCATTGGTAAAAATAGTTCCAATAAAAACTGTAAATTATCCTCAGGAGCATTGCTCCAGGACCACCACATTATGTTTTTGATGCTTTGATTGTTGCAAATGACATTCTGGCAATAAGCAGATCTCTAAATCCATGAATCAAAAAAATGATATCAGCTGCCCTTGATGACATATCTGTGGCGCTTTATATTTGGAGTGCTTTTTATCAAAGCCTCTCAAACGTAACCTTGCTGGACAACAGCATCGATTCCTCTTATGGCGCCTGTACACTCGGCAATAGCATCAATCTTCATTGCATGTCACACAAGATGGGGCGCTAGATGGATCTAATAAAGTCTGTGTGAGACTGTATGATATCAGTTTTGAAGCATGAGAAATGCAGCGATTGGCTGATGAATTATGGACAAAGAGAAAAGACAATAGCCGATGCGAGCGGAGACAGATCATGGGCCTGCTCTCTTGTTTTAAAAATGGTGCAAAACAATGAAAGTTTTAGCCATGGCGCTGAGGATGTGGTCGTAGCCAGGGAAAAGAGGGCTACATGGAATGGCAATTCTGAGTTTGAAGTCAAGACTTTTTTTGGCCTGGTGGATGGGCAGAAGGTAGTACAAGA